AGAGAGAGAGAGAGAGAGAGACTGCCTGAATGACTCCGCGCGTCCTCCATCAGGTTAAGTCATATTCATGAAAAAAAAAAAAATTTAGTTTGCGATGTTCTACGAGTAATGTTGTTGTAATATCCTAATATCTTTTCAATGTTTAAGGGTAATGTACTCCCTTATGACTGGTGTCAGTGCTATAAAGTGAAGCATCAGCTTCAGCTTTTCCCCCTGTCGTTTATTCCAAACGTCACTGATGTCACTGCAGCTCCGCCCTTGCGCCATAGCTCGTGACTGGAAGAGTAGAGGAGTCATTTTGAGGGGGAGGGGAGGTTAACGTTTTTGATTAAAGATTACGAGGGCACATGAATTAAAAAAAAATAATGAAGTGCACAGATAAATTATTTATAATAAACACTACAGTATTTCATCAAAAAATAAGAATTGTAAATTTTGATTTCATGCCGACTTTAAGGCTAAAAGAAGCCTAATGTTTTTAATATGACTGAATTTGTAATTAACATTATAACAATTTTATAGAAACATTGTAAGTTACTAATTATAATGCTCCTCAGTTATTCGAAAAGCAGCTAGAAAACGAGCAAAGAACTTTTACATTATCAAAGAACATCACAACTGACTTCAGTCTAGCGCGAGTTTATGCACTTTAAAAACACTCCCGTTATAATCAGCGAAGCTAGTTACACCGCATGATCAATAAATCTCTTATACTTACATCGCATGTACACCTGCACTTTGTTGTTTATGATGAGAGAATTCGCAAGTCAGAAGTCACTCGTCTGAACCACATGCGTTCAGATGGAGCGGCATTTACTACACAGAGCCGTAGTTCACTAACAAGCTATGCAATATCACATTCAAAATCGGCAATGAATTGCCTGCGATTTTGACCTCTTATACTTACATCGCATGTACACCTGCACTTTGTTGTTTATGATGAGAGAATTCGCAAGTCAGAAGTCACTCGTCTGAACACCTCTGATTGGCCATTGCATTCATAAACTCAACGGAATCGTGTGTGATTGGTTATAACGCGCATTATACTATTATACTAGACGCTCTCTGGGCACAGAGCCAAAAAATGTCAACGCTGCAAGACAAACAAGAGAGCCGAGAGCCCTCGGGAACCCTCTGGCTAGCAACAGCAGCCTACAGAGAAAGAAATCTGCAGCCCCTCCATCCGACACAATTACGCAATAAAAACCCATAACTTCCAAGCCATTTGAGAAGACCAGACCTGACATGCCAGTAAACCCCTGGATAACACGAAAATATCCTTTAGTCACCCAGCCACACTCAACAAATAACAGACAAAAGATGGGGTGAAAGAACCTTTCGAGTCTGATTTTATTTCCGCAGGCGACTAAACAGCGGTGAAAGTGCGGCGTGAATTCCTGTTTTATGATTTCCAGACCATGTGCCG